TTACGGGTAATGTGGGGTGATCACTTTCTGGAAGGCAATCTGGTATAACGGCATCATTCAGCCTATGGAGGTTACACCAGTGTCGGGCGAATCTTATTCCCAGTCATCCCTGAGATGGGAAAAGGCCAGAGTAGCCACACAGGGGAAGTACCAGCTGAGAGACAAGCCAGGGAGGCAGTCAGCAAAAATAGGAGAGACTCGAGGCGGAATCCATGCAGCAGGGAGACCCCCGGGGCCCACTTTAGCCAGCAGAGCTGGGAGAGACTTGTTGCTCCAGGGCTTTTGCAGGCGTTCCAGTGCACAGCGACCCCGCGTATGGCCGAGTGGAACACTCCCCCGTCCTGCGCCACCCGATCCATTGTCCCATGCTGAGCCCCTGCTGCTGCCACCGTGTCAGTCCATCTTGTGATGTGCGCCTGATGAAACATACATTTAGAGTTTTGGCGCCTCTCCAGCCACGAATCTTTAATCTAGGACCCTGACCAACAGCTGCAACACGAGTAAACATCAGCAAGGCCCTCAGAGCTCCTGGTGACAAATCCCACCTGGATGACAGCAGAAAGCCTTGCCCTCTCCCTTCAGAGAGGGCACAGTCTTTGCTTTCTTTCCTCGGGAGTCTCTCAACATGAGATCCTGGTGACTCATTTAAAGGCACAAACACAGGCGGCAGCCGGCGAGTGGATTCCAGCTCCTGGTGTCCCGTGTTTCTGAGTAGAACTGCGCTCCACCCACAGGATTTCGAGGCTGTGGTTTATCGGTTGGCCTTTGTATTGTGAATTGGGGGCAGGATGACAGAGCACGTGGGTTTTCCATTCAACAATGCCAACGCTTCATTTCATGTCACTGATTGCCTTAGGCAGACATCTTCATGCCAGCCGCTTGTCCGGCCTCCCTTCTGCGTGACTGTTGGGTGTGCTCATGTCCCACGCAGGGGCAGATGTGTGTGCCCAGCACACGTGTGTGGCTTGGTCCTCTCTGGTGCATTGGATGACAGCATCTTAGAAGCAGTCCCTTTTGAAGTTGGGAGGGAGAGCTTCCCCACAAGTCTAGAGAAGGGGCCTAAGTCCTTACAGGAGGAAAGAGCCTCACCTTTCTCCCGTGCTAACCCTACAGAGCTGGACTAGGAATACCTGCAGTCTCAGTAGCTTAGGGCTTCTCAGTCTGTGAGCCTGGGCCCTGGAGCTGTGGCAGCTGCTGTAAATCACACCTTTACCCCAGAGAAAGGTGAGGCCAGGGAGCCCTTGGTAGAAGGTGAACCTTCCTGAAGATAAGGGATGGACAGGCCCCAGCCTCCTGTGACTGATGTCACTTTTATCTCTACACATTTAGCTGCAGTCTCTCGTGTAGAGAAGAAATTAAGAACATGGTGTGTGCATTCACGCTTGAACATTTAGGACCAGTTTTTCTTCCTAGAAAATCCCTCTCCGCAAACAGTTCCGGTGAGCTGTCTGCATTCAGTGTTAAAACGAGCAGGCTGGAGTCTTTGGGGCTTAATCTGTGATTTTCCTTCACAAAGCTCATTTCTCCACGCCACTGGCAGACCAGTGGCCAATGTGACAGACAGGTAGCTCGAGTCCTTGCCACAGGACTGAATAAAAATGTGGACACAAAGGTCAACTGTAAAATATGCATAATCAGTGTGCCTAGGAGATGGCTGCCCAGCTCTCCTCTCCTCGCCAGCCTTGTGGTGCCCTGGAATTTTAAGGAGTGAAAATAAAAGGGCGGAGCAGGTGCACCTTGGGGGCCTAGGATGTTTTCTTCCTGAGGGGTGGGCTGAAGGGGGAGTCGGTGGCGTTCCTTAAAGTGAATGTGAGTGCTGGAGCAGTGTGAGGCCCCAGGGGCATCCCAGCTAGGTTCCTGCAGCACAGAGAGGAAACTAAAAACATGGTGTGTGCATTCAAAGTCTAGGAGCAGTTTGTCTTCCTGGAAAATCTCTCTCAGCAAACGGTTCCGCTGTCTGCGCTGTTCTGAGAACTCCTGCGCTCTGAGCCCGTCACACATTCAGCTCCTGACTTTCTAGGTTATGATGTGTGATGTTAGCCCATGGTGCTGACGTGATTGGGCTCTCCAGAAATGTGTGGTGGCCCTGGGCCTGTGGATATGTTTATGGGGCAGTGGATGACCAGTGTCTTAGTGTGACTTAGGAAGCTCCCGCCCTCCTACAGATAATCGTGGGATAACTTGTTCTTTGATGTGCTCTGAGTCGGTCCCAACTCATAGCAACCCTGTATAGGGTTTCCAAGGAGCAGCTGGTGGGTTTGAACTGCCGACCTGGAGGTTAGCAATTCAGTTTGGGTCTTCCCGTGTCACCCCAGGAGCCCTGCGGAGGAGCTACGGGAAGTTTAATAGCGAGAGTATGAAGTTCCATCAGAAAACGGAATAACAAACGAATTCTGTGGTAGCAGCAGCTTTAAGGAAAAGTTCGTCAAACGTGTGACGCCTCTGCAGTCTTATGACGCCGCAAACAAAATTCAGTACCAAGAACTGAGCAGACTGGCGTACTGATAAATATTTTAATTTGATATCCCGATTGCACTTGCAGTGAGTTGTTCAGAGGTCTCTAATGGCCAGTGTCCACAATGCAGGCCAGCTTGGCACACTGCAATTGCTATCACTGGAATGTCTGTACCAGTCAGAACATAGCCACTGGGCCGTCCTCACGACACGTCGTATGTGGTCAGCGGACAGTCAGGGCTAACAGGGTGTTCAGTGTACCAGCATCCCACCTGGAGGCCAGGACCCCACCCCATTTCCCACTGACCTACGTGACAGGGGTGTGTGAACCGTTTCTCTTGGTGTCCCCAGGCCTGTGGAGGACACAGATGCAGCCTGGTGGCCTTTTCATGGACCAGCAGGAAGGAAGCAGCTACTATGGGATGGTCCACATTCATCTCCAATAGACAGTCAGTGCTTAGTGATGGTCTTAAGCCAGTGATGACCCTGGCCCCCACATAGTGCTGAGGTAGGCGAGACGCAAGGCAGGGCCACAGAGCTACTGTCGGATGGCCATGGTCCAGAGGAGAGGCCGGTCCGTGTCTACAGTCACCACTCCGGACCCGTCATAGGCGTTGGATGTGCTGACCAGAGTCCCGAAACCAAGCAGGTCATTGGCTGTAAGGGAATAAGGAGAGCGATGTTAGGGCTCCAGGGTAGATGGGCCACATCCACAGTGACATCTGAGCGGGGACACATATGAGGTCAAGTGGAAATTTGGCTCTAAGTAAGAATGATGACGTTTGGTGCAGTGTTACCTGGTTTCTGAGTTAATTAGTCATTGGCTTTGTTGTTAAGTGCCATCATGTCGACTCACAGTGACCCTGTATAGGGTTTCCGAGGAGGGGCTGGTGAGTTTGAACCGCTGACCTTGTGGCTGAAACGGACTTTGCAGTCTACCTCACTCCACAGCGCCACACCAGGATGCCAGCAGTTACGTTTACGTTGTTGTAATTCAGGAATGATAGTTTTGATCCGTAAGTGTATTTAAAAAAAAAAAAAAAAATCAGAAATCTAATTTTTAAAGTTTCTCAAGTATTTTGTGGCCATTTAATGAGTTAGTGAAAGATGGTCACAAGAATGGGGAAATAGCCTGCATTTTTATGTGAAACCTTAGGACAACTGAAACACGTGGGCAAAAATGAGTGCTTTGCCTGGAATCAGAACCAACTCCATCATTTCTTTACTCAAAGAAGTGAAATTCCCTTTTTATTCATTTCTCAATGTGTGCCCCAAACAGTCCAGTGGCCTAGGAAGCGTTCCAACAGGAACCGTAAAGCCTGCTTTAATCACACACGCAGGTGATTCACTGAGGAACTCAGCCAGCAGAGGCCCAGACAGGACGGAGCACGTTGGGCGGGCAGGCTGCTCACGGAGGGCTGCTTCCACATTCTAACCGGAGCCCCACAAACCGTGAATGCTAAGTGACATTGTGCTTAAAAAGGCTTCACACACAACTGTCCGAGGGGAGCCCTCAGAAAACGCCAGCTCACTCGGATGAGGCCACTCTGGGTGGGTTCATTATATTGAGGGGCTTGTTATCTCCAGAGCGCATTTTACCCAGTTTCTGTTACATGTTACCTACCGCCAACCCAGTCCCCATGGCCATCACGTTGACCCTGTAGGACAGGGCAGAACTGCCCCATAGGGTTTCCCAGGCTGTGAATCTTTGTAGAAACAGATAGTTTCATCTTTCTCCAGAGGGATGGCTGGTGGGTGCAGTTACCACCTCAGCGTGTATCCCACAGTGCAACAGGACATTGTTGTCACACTGGAATGCTATTAAATTATCTCTATTTCAAAACATCCACAAAAGTTCAGGCCAATTCAATAGGTGTGAGACCGCTTTAGTCTGACAAAGTCATATTTTTAAATCATTTTTATAAAAACACATAATACAACATTTGCTGGTTCATCACTTTCTGTCAATGAGATCATCATCATGTGATTTCCTATCCCCAAAAATCCTTATCACTGGACCAATAAACAACATTCTTATCAAGGGAGAAAAGATTGAAGTTGTCAAGGACTTCATTCTTCTTGTATCAACTAACTATCAACATTCGTGGAAACAGCAGTCAAGAGATTAGACGACGTATTGCATTGGTCAAATCTGCTGCACAAGACCTTTCTAAAGTGTTGAAGAGCAAAGATGTCAGCTTGAGGACTAACATGCGCCTGGCCCAAGCCATGGTATTTTCAGTAACTTCTTATACATGTGAAAGCTGGACAGTGAATAAGGAAGACCATAGAAGAATTGATGCTTTTGAGTTATGGTGTTGGAGGAGAATATAGAAAGTGCCATGGGCTGCCAAAAGAACCAACAGATCTGTGTTGGAAGAAGTGCAGCCAGAGTGCTCCTTGGAGGCC